GGGGGGGGCGTCTGTCAGACTGGTGGGAGAGTTCTGCAGCGGGGCTCCACTCAATCCCCACTCCACCCAGCTCCCATCATTACATTCACCCACTACCCACACTGACCCCCGCACCTTGCTGGGACAGCCAGGCCGCAGGACAGGCGAAATCAGAACAGCTGGGCCCGAAGTCCAGTCGTCTTGGGCATCTACCTTTTCCTGCTTCACCTGTGGTGAGGCCACAACCAACTTAGGCAGGGCCCAGGACCCGCCCTGCCAACCGCGCACACTGTAGGGGGAGGTAGGGGTGGAGACTCCGCAGTTGCCTGGGCCCAGCGGCATGACAAGAGTCAGCATGGGGTCCTGAAAGGCAGGATATGGTGAGGGAAGCGCTCACCTGCAAGGGGGCTTCTGTGGAAGAGGCAGGGCCAGGCACTGGCACAGGGCTGCCTGCGCCCTCCCGCAGGAACACAAGGTCTGTGCCAGGTGGGGGCAGCACAAAGCTACTGCCTGCCTCCTGCTTCATTGGTGCCTGGGCCTGGCCTGGGCAGGATATGGACATGGCCAAGGGGGACTTCAGAGTGGGCCCTAGCCGGGGTCGGCGGGCGGAGACTGGCTTCCTGTGACGACGGCAGGGTGGGAGCAGCTCGGCTCCATCCTCAGGGCCTGCGCAGACACTGGGCAGCAGCCGCTTCTGCATGGAAAGACAGGGTACTGAGGCAATCTGGTCACACCTACGCTGCCCGGCGCAAGGTCTCAAGTGAACCCCATTAATTTCAGTGCAGCATCAGCTTACCTACAAGCCCACTAGTCTCTGCCAGCGTCGCCTAGAGCCCACGTGCCCCAGCACATGATCTGTGGGCCTGCAGCCACACTTTACCTGCCCAGCCCCCTCCCCGCAGCAGCAGGCTACCCAACCCCCAGGCACTAAAGCGCCAGCCCTCCTCTGCCCAGCAGCCCCTGCTGGTCCCACCCACCATGGCAAACTGCAGGCACTGGCGCCAACGGCACTTCTGGCGCTTCTGGTTGCTGCCTCCGAATTTGGGTTTGTCACAGCAGAAGTCGCAGCGGCCACAATCTGTCCGCCTCAAGCAGGCTGTGCAGGACCCACACTTGCGGTTCTGCCGCCGGTTCGTGTAAGGCTGCTGGAGGGAAGTGGAGCCATTCACTAGGCCTAGCAGAGAACGCTCTCAGTGCCTCGTGATAGGCCTGCTCCCGGGTCTCCACACGAAACCTCTGGAGGAGCAATCAAATCCAGCCTGGGCCTGCGGCCCCAGTCACAGCAGTGCTCCAGCAGGGTACTAGCCGGGCCAGGCTGGCCACCACCAGAACTGCATCTGCTCCGCCAGTCTCCCTGCATGCCCCTGGGACTCTGCTGCCCCTCCGAGTTCCCACCACTGTGCCTGCTCAGCCAAGAGCCTCATCCCAGTGTCTGCTGCTCCCGCAGTCGCCCGGTCTTCACTGGCACATCTGACCTTGGCACTCTCCCTGCCTGCTGTCCCAGGTCAGTGCCCACACGGCTCTTCCACACAGGCCCTATCACTATGCCTTGGTGCACCCTGGCTGGAGCTTCTTTGGGGTTAACGAGTACCCTGGACGAGCCTAGGCTTATCAGGTCTGGGTGGGGCAGGGCCACTCACTAGCTCGTCCTCGTCTACACAGTAATAGATGAACTCAGCAGGTGGCGAGGGGGCCAGGGCTCTGGGGTGCTGCAGAGGGAAATGGGGCGGGGTCAGGGTTGTACTGAGTAAGGTTCCTGTCAGGTCTTTCCCCTGCCCCTCAGAAGCTCACCAGCTCTATGGCCTGCAGAAGGGGTGGCAGTGACAATGGTTGGGTTTGGGGGCGCCGCCGGGCTGCTGCTATCTTGGGATCACGGCCTCCTTTGCGACGAGCAAGTTTTCCCTGAAAGAGAACCATAGAGAGTGGTTTGGGCTTGGTGGAAGCAGGCCAACAGTGGTGGGGTTTGCACAAAGTCTGCAAGGGGCACAGCGGCCGAGGGTGGAACAAGGGTGGACACTCACAGCAGGGGGAGCCACAGCCAAGGGAGCTCGTCGTTGACCTCGCTGATGGTGGCGCCGAAGGCGGTGAGCAAGATGCTGGCAGAAAGGGGCAGTAGGTAGGGCCGGGAGGTGAGCATGAGGTGGGAGAGAAAGGAGACATGAGGTGGGCAAGACCAGAGAGGGAGGCAGCAGCACCAGCACCAGCACCAGCTTTACCTGTGGACTAAGCTCCCACCTGGCCCGCCCCGCTGGCTCACTCACCCGCAGACAGCGCCGCTGGACACACCGCCACTGGCGCCGGAGCCCTGGGCGGGGTGGGCGGAGGCAGACTTGGCAGCGGCCACAGTCTTCTCGGGTCTGACAGCCCCGGCACACTCCACACCCTCGGCTCTGTGGGTTGGGCCGCAGGCGTGAGGGCCAGGAGCACGAGGGCAGGGGCCCAGGCGGGGGTCTAAGGACCAGGGCTGAGATGGGTACGGGCCAGCCTTAGGCCCACCCTACCAGCCTGTGCCCAACTCACTTTTTCCACAATCCGGAGGCAGCGTCTCTGCTCACATTTGCAGAACAGCCCAGAGGCCACTTCGTGGGGCAGCTGGAGGAGGCAGGTGGAGCAGGTCCCGCAGTCCTCGGTCACCTGGCAGGCCGTGCACTCCCCACAGCCCACTCGCTGCCAGCACAGTGGGTAGGGACAAAATCACGGATCCAGGCAGAGTGCCAAGGAACCCAGCTCCCGACATGACATCTGCTGACCCCACTTTAACCTCCACCAGCGTGCCTGTGAGCGCCAACCCCCCAGCCCAATCCAACCCCCCCACCCCCCATTGGCCTCCTCACTCCATTTGCTCATTCCTAACTGATGCCACCACTTCATCTGCTGACACACGGCCGCCTGCTCTGCTGACCCATAGCTTGGTCCTTAATAAGCCTCCCCCTTCTGTGGACCCATCACCACTCCGTCATCCCGTTTTGCTCCCCCCACCACAGGCCAGTGAGGAGGGGGCTGTGCTTACTTTAAACATTCTCTGCTCTCGGTTGAAGGCGATTCTCCGAGCTGCAGGGAGGAGGAAGGAAAGAAAAGTAGAAAGGGAACATCAAACCACCTGACTTCACCCACTGCCTTGGCCTCAAAACCCCCACACCCCTGCCTCGGGCTGTACTTCAGACCAGCCCCTCAACCTCCAAGGACAGAAGCGCAGCCCCCATTGCCTGACACTGGCCCTGCACCAGCTCCTGTCCTCCTGGGAACTGCTCACCTCGACAGTCCTTGCACAATGTTTTGAGCCGCTGCCTCCTGGTAACATCTACTGAGAAGCGGATGCCACAGTTCTCACAGCACCTGCAACAAGAAAAGTGGGTCTGGGGCCTGGAATGTGTCCCCGCCAACTTCCTTCCCTCTTGGCTTGCCCCAGGCTGACACTCACCCAGGTGCAGGGAGTGACGCTGGGGCCGCATCCGTGTCAGTGTGCGTCATGGTCTTGGTCTCATCCCGAGGGGTCTCCTTGGTAGCCTCAGCCCTATCGGGCACCACGGGACACGGTTGAGCTTTGACTGGCCTTGCAGGCTTCTTCCGCTTTCTGCCAGGAGCAGCCAGAGCCTGGGCCTGGAAAGGAGGAAGGACAGAGCATAGGTTAGCGAGTGGGAGGGGAGGTAGCCGGCACAGCCACTCCTGCCTAGACACCCCACATCATGGCAGTACCTTGGGGTTTAGATAGCGTAGGACCCCTCGCTTGAAGTCGAAGAGGGTGAGGTCACACGCAGGGCCCAGGTAACGGGTCAGCTCAACTTTGCTCCGGATCCGGTCTCCTGTGGGGCTGGGGTTGGACCAGAGAGGGTTGACACCCAAAGTGACCCACCACCACTCCACCCAGACAGCGTTCCACAAGGGTTGGAGCACAGGCCTGCAGAGCTGGGTGGATATAGGAGGCATCCTGGGGCCCAGCTCCGAATAATCCTGAGTAGTCAGAACATAAAATGTGAACACAAGTAGTAGTTTATAAAGATGAGTAAGTAGTTTCTGGACATGAATACACAGGCAAGCTCCAACTTAGTATATTCAAGCTACCACTGACTGCACAGGTGACCATCCATTTTCTGATACCCTTATCATTAGTGCTGTATGCCATGTCATCACCTGTCTCCAGACGTTCATGTCCAGATGCTCAGTGTATCTGGAACATGGGTGCTCCCTGGAAGGAAGCTAAGGGACTGTGGAAAAGACATGCCGAGTTACACAAACACATTCCAAGCATTTGACTGGTATGATGGAAAAGACCGGTGGGAAAACACCATCCACACGGGAAGGATGCTGAATTCAGAACCAACCTCCCCCGATGGGGAACAGCTTCTAGATCACCAGAGAGAAGGGCTGAGCGGTCAGGGTGTCACACATTTTGGAGGAGGAAATGGTGAAGAAGAATGTGATAAGGAAGACGAAGGAGAAGTTTAAGAACAAAATACAGTAAAAGAATGGGGAGTTTTTAAAAAGTCAAACAGACTCAAACACTGACTGCTTTACTCACGTTAACAAGCGGATTATGGAAGCAGGAAGCGGTTATTGTGAAACACAGTGATACCTTGGTTGTTGAACTCTGTTCCAAATTTGGGTTCGAACACCAAAAAATTCTAGAACTTAACACATTTTCCCCATAGAGAATGAAAAGCCAGATTGGTTCTGAGACCCCAAAATTACACTTACAAATTCATTTTTCCAGGACTTCTAATCACTGTGGAGGCTTTTGGCCTTCTCGCAAAGACGACTGACTCAGATACACTACCTCCATGGAGTTGTTTCCGCTTTATCCCAATCAACAGTAACTTCTCATTTTAAAAAAAGCATTTTATTAGAAGTTCTTACAGATATTGTAACAACTTTTCAACTTCTTAGATGGTCTGAGTTTTGTTTTGTGGTTAACAATTTCACACCTTTTGGTACATTAGCCACTTTAATAGCCACCCCCACCCCCCAATTACGTTAGTCAACTTAGCCACGTTGCAGTCAGCCACCACATCAGGCAAGCAGTGACTTGATAAAATTCCGCAACGATTTCTTTAACTCTGTTGTGGTTCATTTTCTCATAGCTGCACTGGTGATATCACTTTCTTTGTGCCACGCTCATATCTGATGCAAATGAAGTACGAAAAAGCCCCATGACCAGTGTTTCCATACATTAACACGAGCACCTATACGTTGCCCGAGTGAGAGCGACGCTGAGCCTGAAGCATCACCCGAGTCCACTGCAAAGCGAGACGCGTGCCTCAAGCTCAGCCCCCACAGGTGTTTTCACTCTCGGCCCGCACAGGTGTTTCCAAATTAGCTTTTCGGTTCAAGTTTCGAACAAAGTTATGCACACCAAGTAGATTTTTTTTTAACTTTGCTGTTCCCGGAGTAGAAAGTTAAGAGCTGGGAGCCATTCAACAACCTAGGTATCACTGTATGAGAAGAAAGGACCGTGCAGAGAGCTCTCAATAACTTTCTGACTAGAAACACCATCCCCATTCCCCAGGGTAATCCACATGGCCCAGACCTTTCCACAGTGGTGTTATGACTGCAACTGGGAAAATGTCACTATCAACCAACTCTTCGGCAGTGTCAGGATAAACTTCTGTGTACTCTGATGCACACACCGAAATCCACCTGGCAATTCTGGTAATGTTTCCAATCCCAAAGACTGATTAAGATGGATTTACAAAAATAGTGATAATAAAAGGCAACGATCATGGGGGAAAGAAAGGAATCTGCCTTACGTCAGAACAGGCTTCAGAAGTTGGAACAGACCCTATTGGTACACGACACGATACGTAATGGTGTGACATGCAAATAAACAGACACACAGACTTAAATAGCACGTCGATATGCGAACAGTGCAGTACTTTTAATGGACAATACCAACATTGTGTACCTTTGGATTGTGTGACAGGCTCTCCTTCCAGAGCAAAGGGAAGGCACAGACACTGCACACGATGGAAGATGGGATGCCCCTACACTGAGGCTTCTTCGGTAGCACAACCGCTGTACATGCAGGGGCCATTTAGCCTACCCTGTGGGGACTAGCATGAGAAGCAGCACAGAAACGACATTATTCTGGGACTGCTACTGCTGCAAAAAGGAGATTATGTCAGACGCAGGACTCTCATCTTCTAAGAGCATTCACAAAACTGCTCTTCACCCACCTGTTGTCTTATCCCTAAGGGCAAAATCCCAGTGTTTCCTATTTGGGAGAGCAGTCTCTTTATCACTGGAAATGTGTGAGCCTCTAAGCAGAGGATTGGGTCTGGAATATCCCTGATAAGGTTAGACACTAGGCCTTCCTCTATCCCACCTTCTCCTTCCCCTTCCTTATCAGGGAAACTGCTCTTTCAAGACAGTAATTATGTACATCAAATGGCACCAGGCCAACCCTTAGGCTATTTCAGTCTATGCCCAGACCACCCATCTGTCAGTTTGTTACACTGTGGTCCTTTGTGTGTTCTAAGATGCTAGAAGCTATGCCACTCAATACCAGCCGTGTCACACATGGTGGTCAGGTGATTTACTTCCAAATATTTTCATTCTACTCAAACTCAAATGCCATCGAGTCCAATCTGATTTGCAGAAACCTACAGGGCAGAGTAGAACTGTCCCGTGGGTCTTTCTTTACAGGAGAAGAAAGCTTCACCTTTCTTTCATGGCACAGCTGGTGGTTTCAAACTGCCGACCTGTGGGTAGCAGCCCACTATGTAAACCCACTATGGCATCAGGGCTCCCTGTGAAAAAGCCATTAGTCAATGAGATCCCATTTGCCAATTACAACAGATGTAAAGCTAACAGATAAGCCTCCTAGGTCAGAGGGCACTCACAGTACACAATGGTATACTAGTAACCAGGAAGACCGGACCCAAACAGGCCACATTCCATTCTGTTGCACGTGGATGGCATCACCATGTGTCAGTCAACGCTGTGGCAGTCAGCAAGAGCTGGGCAGGGAATGAAGTCCTTTGCTTGCAGCTTGGAAGAGTGGTGCTTGCAGAGCACCAACCCCAGAGCTGTGGAGTAAGAGCCGCTGGCCTTGGGGGGAACCAATGTACACATGTGAGAACAATCATTACCTGTCTGTTCTCCATGTGAGTTTTGCACTAATCTAACCAGTGCCTGTGTCAAGTCATATCATTTTTTGGTGAGTGTGGCAGTTGGTTCAACATGTCCGTGGTCCATGACAGTCACATTTCAGTCTACCATCTTTGGAAGCTGTGTTGTTGTTCGTTGCCATCGAGTTCAGTTCAACTCATGGCAATGCCACGTGTGCAGAGCAATACTAGCCTCTGCATGGGGTTCAGGCTGGGGCTTGTGGGAGAGCAGGCCGCCAGGCCCGTTTTCTGGTGACTAAAACTATCAACCTTTTGGCTCATAGTGCAGTATTTACCCATCTGTGTGGACTTACGTGCCATGACCTTATAAGACAGGATTGCCTCATAGGGTTTCCTAAGCCATAATCCTCACACGAGAAAACTGTCACCTCTTTTTCTTCCATAGAGCAACCGGCAGATTTGTACCACTAACCTTTTGGTGGCAGAGGAAGGGCATACTCACTGTACCTCAACAATACTTAAGTATGTGACGAAACGAGCAACTAAATGTAAATGAGGGCTTAGCTATAAAAATAAAAGCAAGTAAAAGAAAACCTTACATAGAAATAGAAGTATTAATACATAGTGCATACCATGTTTGTAATCTTACCACATTCCTCTATAAAACTCATAACTTAGAGACCAAAAGATTTTAAAAGACTACATAAACTTTATTATCTCTATCACTTACACATCCTAAAACACACAAACAATTGAGCTTATAAATACACACCTTTTTACATGCCTGATTTTAAAACCACCCCACTGCTAACCAGGCTCCATTCCATCTCAGCCTCTGCCCACAACCCACCCACAGTACCTCTGGTAGTAAGTGTCTGAGCGTCCACAGGTAGCCCCTGACTTGCGAAAGACTTCTCGCCGCTTCCAGCCAGGGCCCAGGGCTGGGCAGTCCAGCCATTCCTCAGCCATGGGGGCCACGGGCACCGACAATGGCCTGTGAGATAGTGGGGAATTGGAGTGACTGAGGCACTAGAAGTAGTTATGCCATAGGCCACACACAGCCCATGTGTTCTTGAAAACCACTCAGGACCTGCCGCAGGTAACCCTCCCATGAGCCTGACTCCGCTCCCATCCTGTCCGTCTTGAATGCAGGAGCTCCCTGTCAATCCTCATTCCTGAGCTGGTAGCTTCCCTTGCTCCTCTCCTCATCCTTGACGCAAAGACGGCCATTCCTCTAAGCATGGCTTCCTATTCAACCTGAGAGGCCAGCGTTTTTCTCCACTGGCAACCAGCTTCTTCATCCTTCCCCCCTCACTGCTTCCCACACCTCCGTATTCCTGACCCAGGAAACACTCCTCTTTGCCCTAAGGGTCCCATTTCTTCCCTTTGTCAGTTGGGAGTCCTCCAGCCTTACAATCCTCCTTCCCAGCAGGCCGTGCACAGCCCACTGAAGCCCGGCTCCCCTCCTGCTGGCACCAAGCCCCCTCACTATTCTGACCACCTCTTCCTCTTTGCCCACTTCTGAGCCCTCAACTTTTGCTCTTTGCTGTTTCAACTTTCCCGCCGTTCCCTCTGCCTGATGTCCTCGCATTCTGCAACCTCAGTGTGACAGCTTTTATTTCCCCGGTTCAAGAGCCCCCAAGTCCTCCACATCCTCTCCGTGAACATCCACGTCCCCATTCCTCCCCTTCTGTGGCCCAAGACCCTCCCCACCCCATTATTTTCCCTCTCAGTGTCTGACCCAGTTTCTCCCAACCTCCACTGGGAAAATACATCACTCGACTCTTCTCCCACCTACCCATCTTCCATTCCTCCCTCCTCAGCCTGAGAGACTGACTACTCTCTTCAGCATTCTGTCCTCACCTAGAAATGTCATGTGCGTCAGCGCCTGACCCCCGTTCCTCCAGACAAGCAACCGACTCTTCCTTTCCAATCATGCCAACACCCCAATTCTCTCCGTCGTTAGCCTCAAAGTCCCTCACTCCCCACTTCAGCATTCCGAACACCCCATTCTTCTCGCTCCTCAGCTAAGATCCCGACACTCCCACCTGCCAGGGTTCCAAGCCCGGTCCCTCACCGTCCTCGTCCTGAACGGCCCTATTCCTCCCTCTGAGCACCCCGACGCCGCCATTCCTTCATCGCTTCGGTCTGAGGGCCCTTCGTTCTCCCCCGTCAGCTCTGGAGCCCCAGCTCCTCTCCAGTCCGCGCCTGGGCGCGCCCCACTTCCATTTCCAGGGCAGTCTCACCTGTTCCGCGACGGGCCGATAGCTTCCGCCGCTCTAAAGACGCGGACCCATGACTTGTGGCCCGCCTGCCCCTTTCGCCTTGTCCTACTCTTCCTCCTCCGCAGTCCCCTCTCCGAAGCGGTAGCTGTCGCCGCAGCCGTTCGTTACTTCCGGAACCGGAAATCCGCTGCCTGCCCTCTTGGGCACCGCCCCTGGCGGGACGCCTGCGCATTAAGGCTCCGGCCGCGGGTGCCCTTAGTGGGGAAACTCCCGCGCCTGCGTGTTTATGATCCACAACTGCGCGCGCAGGCTGAGAACACGTTGCGCCTGCGTCCCGACTAAGACGCGCTGCGCGCTCAGCCTGAGGGAATTACTGAGCACCTGCGCAGTCTGAGATCAAACCGAGGGGGCGTGGGGTTACGCCTGCGCTCTCCAGTGCCAAGGCGTGGGGGCGAGTGTTAGCAAACACTGTGGGTGCGCTTACGTACTTTCATTTTCAGGAGGCTTGCATTTTTCCCTTGGTCAGACTTGTTAGGAGCCTCGGCTCTCAGCTCCCTTGTCTGGCTCCCCCAGGGGTGCACGGGGCGGAGGGCAGTGTCAGGGACTAAGCTGGTGTCCCTCTGGCCACCTGCCCCAGGGCCTTTGTGTCCTGTACTCCCCTTCCAGGCTTCAGTAGAAGCCAGGGCAGCTGGGAAAGGGGCGGTGTGGCGCAGCAGGTAAATAGTGGGCAGGGCAGTGTCACTATAGGGAAGCGTCCACCGCTTGGTGGTGGGGCTGAGTACTCCCTACAACTCCTGGGGCCGGGCTGGGGTTCAGAGCCCCGATGGAATGTGCCTCATGCACCTGCTGCAAGAACGAAAAGGAGGCCTGTGTCCCTTAGAAGATACCTGTGGTCTGGAGAATCTTACTCCCACACCAAGTACATGCCAACTGCATGTCCACTGTCCTCAAATGAGAGGCTGGGCGCCATGTGGAGTCACATGTTCACAGCACAGGTGTGAAACCTGAAATCCACTGCCTGGAGGCCAAGTGCATCCTCCCAAGTGCATCTTCCCAGGGTGGCTCCGAGCACACATGCTGCCAGAAAGACAAGTGGGCAGCCATACAAAGTTGTCTTGTGTTTTTCTCCAAATTTTATTAACAAAACCCAAGGAGAGAGGAGGTAACCCCTTACTCTACAGTCCCACCCAGCCGCAGAGGACAGAGAGACCAGGGGATAGACAGGGACAAGGAAATTCTGAGACCCTCCAATGATGGCCCAATGATAGCTGGCCACAGGGCACAGGAAACTCCAGGAACCCTCCAACGGCTGAATGGAGGAGGAATGCAGGGTGTGAGGGGCCTGGGCAGGTGTGGCTCAACGGTCAGCACTGGACCGCAGGTCAGTGGTGAGTGGGTCGTGCTGGATCGTTTGGTGCAGCATCAGGGCCAGCAGCCCTGCCCGGTTTGTCATGGCCGTGCGGACATTACGCTCCTGCTCAAACAGCTCGTCCAGCTTGTACCACTGCCAGGGAACAGATGATGGGGTCGTGAGTGGGGGCTCTGGAGCCCAGCCTGCCCACTGCCCTAGCCACACCCCAAGTCGAGACCCACCACTCGAACTCGCTCCAGGTCCACTTCAGCACGACGCAACTTCTCCCAGCAGTAATGGCGATTGCACTGCCGCTTGGGCAGGCGGCAGAAGTCGCCTGTGAGCTCAAACACATCTCGGACCAGCGGGCACCCACATACCTCATCGGCTGGCACCTGTAGGAAGACCAGGGGGTGGAGGGTGGCGAGGCTGCATGGAGGGTGGGGAGGGGCGTAGTGAAAGAGGTCCAGAGAGGGAAGTGATGAAGGGAGGCCAGCAGGCAGTGGAGGAGAATGGAGGGGCAGGGGACAGGGAGAAATGGAGGCGGAGACAGGAAGGGCTGGAAGACCATCATCAGAGAGCAAGACCAGACAGGTCAGGGGGAAGGGAGAGGGTGAGTGGGAAGGGAGAAGGGAAAATGGAGGGGAAGGTAGTCTGAGAAGGAGAAGAGGCTAGGGGGAAAGGTTAAGGGCAGGGGGCACTGAGACAGGAAAAAGGAGACATGTGCCTGAGTGGAGGGTGGTCAGGCAGGAACAAATGGAGCCAGCGAAGCAGGGAAGAGGGGCAGGACAAGGGCAACTGAGAGGAAACCTTACTTTGGGGTCCCGTGAGTGTTCTGGACAGAGCACTTGTAGCCGTTTACAGTACGTCTTGCTCTGAGGATTGTAGACATCACAGAAGAGCCGAGTAGCCCTGGGGGGTTGGAGCAGAGAGAACAGTGAGGGAGTGGGGGCGGAGGGCAGTCCCACCCAATCTGCATATACCACACTCTGCCCCACCTCCACCCACATTCCACCACTGACCCCACTTCACCCTCCTCCTCTGACCCCATGTGGTACCCACACTCACCCCTCAATGCGTGTGGGGTACATGGACCCAAAGGACGTCTGGCTCTCATACTGGAGGGACAAGCACAAAAGGAAAGGCCTGGATGTGGCTGTGTGCCCTCCCGCCAGGTGACAAATCTGTCCCCTCAGGCCCCCAGGACACCCACCCCTCAGATTGACACCCCAACCTTGGCGTAGCAGCGTTCCATGTGGCGCAAGGCCACTCGCGGGTTAATTGGGTGCCCGCAGGAGACGCAGAAGATCTGCAGGTCGGTGTCGTCACTGTCGCCCTCATTGCTCTGTTCAGGCGAAAGGGAAGATGAGGCCCGGTGGAAGCCAGGCCCAGCCCACCTGTCCAGCCATGCTCACCTCCTCATCCTCGCGCACCGCCTGCTGCTTGGCCCGTAGGATGATGGCTTCCAGCTCATGGAACCTGCGCTCCATCTCCTGCAGGCGGGTGCGGGCGCTGTGCTGCTCCCGGCGGATGCGCTCTAGGAGCTTCTTACCATGCTCCTCGGCGATGCAGGGGCTCTGCTGCCACTGCTGGATGCGCTGGGGGAGGATCTCGTAGATGCGGCTGCAGAGAGCCGGGCAGCCACGTTGTGTAGGCAAGGAAAGTGGCAAGTAACAAAATGAGAATCCTGGGTGCTTCAAAGGCACAACAGACAGGCACTGGCCAGGACAATGGAACAGGAGACTGGGCGGTGGATGAATGTGCAGGGGGCGTTTGGGCACACTGAGGGTGAGTAGGTCACTGACTGCGAGGCAAACAGATGACTCTGGCCGGGCCCCCTCCCTGTACTCCCCGAGCCCCTGCAATGACTCACTTGGCCGCCAGTTTCATGCCACAGTCATCTGAGCAGTACTTGGAGCCAGGCTGGGCAGGGCGCACACAGCCAGGCCCCAGGCACTGCGGCAGCGTCGCCGGGTCCTTGGCATCAGGTCGCTCGGGGTGTTTCCATTTGTCTTTGTGCTTCTGCTTTTGCCGATGCCGCTTGTATCGTTCCTCCTTCTGTGGTACGGCAGGCATGTCAGGGGGAGTCCCCCGAGCCCCCTGACCCCTGCCTCCCCTGACTCCAGCCCACCCCCCCACACATCACCTTCTTCTCTGACTTCTTCTCCCGGCGCTTGACATGCTTCACTTTCACGGCCCTCTTCCGCAGGGCCGGGTCCAGGAACGCGGACTCCTCCGTGTCACTCATCCAGGGCTGACAGCGGGACAGGCACTGCTTAGCAATCTGCCACACTCTCCTTCCATCCACCCACCTCTCCTCTCTCTGTCCCGTCATGCCCACCCTGCCCGCGGGCTCACCAGGCCGTGATCATCAAAGGCTGCCGCACAGAAGTCCTGGTACAGGTCGGGGTCCATTGGAAGGTCCTCGTCTGAGAGGGGCTCCGGCGTGGCCATTGCTTCAGGTGCTTCCTTGACTGATGATGCCATAGCCCCCTCATCCTCACGGAGGCGCCCCAGCTTCTGTGACGCTTGTGTCTGCTGTTGGGTGGGCAGTGGCCGGCGGGGCCGTGGCAGGGACTCTGAGGCCATCACCGGTGAGAGCTGCGGGGCAGAATCTCAGGACTGGCCCTGACCCCTCTGCCCACATGCCCCACCCCGCCCTGGGGAGCTGGACTCACCGAGGAAGGGAAGTACTTGTACGATTCCTGTGCCGGCAGGAGGAAGGCCCAGGTCAGCCCCAGGTGGATGGGGGCTGGCCCTGCCCTAACCCCCCCGATTCCCCTGACCCCCATTCCACCCACCCAAATATATTCAGCCCTGAAAACACCTGGCCTCGCCCTGCCCACTCAAATGTACAGGGCCAAGGGGACCTCCTGCCAGCCCCGAATACCAGGACAGGACAGGCTCCGACCCATCTGCTTGGGCACCACCCATCCCTAAACTTAGCCAACTTCTTCTGGACACAAAGCCTCCACCCATCTGGCCCAGCTGCACCCATGCTCACCCGGGCACGAAGCTGGCACTGACGGAGGCGACACTTCTGCCGGATCTTGTTTGGACCCCCAAACTTCTTCATGTCCCGGCAGAAGTCGCAGTGGCCGCAGTCCTCGGTACGCCGGCAGGCCTCGCACTCACCGCACATTCGGGCTGACCGCTTGATCTGCTGCTGCTGCTGCTGCTGCTGCTGCTGCTGCTGCTGCTG